TTAAAGTGATCTACATGCTTATGTTACCTGAGGTACAAGATTTCCCTCCTTCATAATATTTTCAATCATTTGTCCCCTTTCATTTCCCTTGGCCACTTCTTGTCTCAAAAGATCTCCAGCAGACAGGTGTATATAACCAAATTCGTCAACAATTTTAGCACACTGGGTCCCCTTGCCTGATCCTGGTCCACCTGTGGTGTTCACATAAAGTGTTAAAGGATGAATGATTGACTGTATATAATTTAAGCTGCAGCACTTTGTAGTAGCTTAATAATGAAGCATTATAATTTACATTATTATGTGCCAAACTCTTCTCTGTATGGGTCCCCCCATGGAGTTGAAGTGGCAATGTTCGCTGTTGGGCATGATGCAGCGATGATGTTAGGGATTCAAGTAATAAATTGCATTGCTATTTCAATTAAGTTTGACAATGTTGGTTGTACAATGCTGACAAAGAAATCTGCCACAAAGTGTACTGAAAAGTGTAGTGTACAATAAGAGTTTTTGTTTTGTGTGACGACAATCTAAGTCCACAGGTATCTATAAATTATGCCTAGAGAATCTCCTGGTCTCCAGTATGAGTAAGGCCCGGTTCAGACGCTGATCTTTTCATGAGCCGAACCTAATACATTGAATTAAGTACATGAAAAGTTTGACGTCTGAATCAATTAGGAACGCCTATTTCAATTTGGAACAGTTCAGCCGTTCTTCACACCTAGCCCAAAAATTTTAACTGTGGAACAACTTTGGAACAGTTTTGATTCACACACAGAACTTTTCATTTACTGAACCTAAAACAAAAATTTGTATAACGCATTTTGCAAGCAGTTTCACCAAAATGAGCATTTTTCTCCTTTTTGATTTAGTTCGGCCGGAATTGAGATCAGCGTCTGAATCAATTCAAGTGGTCTAAATAGTTTGGGTCAGCCTTAATTCGAATCAGGTTCAGCTCATGAAAAGTTTGGTGTCTGAACCGGGCCTAACTTAACTATATTTTCTTTTTACTAATTCTGTTTTTTTTTAAGAGTACAAGAATCAAAGGAGTACATGAATAAGTTGATTTCAATTTTGCATCAAGGAAAAAGACCCTTTATAACATACCGCGCGTGCTTGCCCTATATAAGTCCTATTGAGCCGCTATGAACAAAATCTTTATTTACGCACGCCCCTGCGTAAATAAGATGACGTGAGCATTCTTTTTTTTACCCGGCTGCAAAGTTGTCGTCTTTTAAGCTACAGTGCAGTGTTCCTTCTCTGTAAAATATGGAAGAAACCAGCGAAGAACTGCCCAATTTTTTCTGTCGGCATTAACCTTTTAGGTCCTGATCCAACAAGCAGCAAAAATAAAGGCGAATTTAAAAAAAATCGCAAGTTGCGCTTTTCGCAAATTTGTCGGAAGACCAGCTTCAGGAAATTTTGGCCGAAAGACATTCACTGGTAACAGAACAGACACCAACTGGTCATCAACAACATTTAAAGCTAAAATTTCCGTTTTTATTGTTGTTTTTAAATTTGTTATGCACTATTGTTATCTCCGGACAATCCGACTGAAGCAGGAAAATTTCTCTCGCAATAACAACACAAATGTACACAAGAAGACATAAATTTATTACTCACAAAAACAACTGCTGCCAGGTCTTCTCAAGAAGCTGTAATGACCAGCCAATGTTTGTAAATGAATGTCAGTTTAAAGAAGGATGACAATC